GAAGTTAATAAAAATAAAACAATCATTTCTTTTTTTAATTTTAGAATTCAAGAATATAAACTTCACCGTGTATATGATTTACTGTTCATTGATTACATAAAAAATACAGTTCAAATAGTATTTCTATTTTGAGAGGATTTATTTTCTGTTGTTTATTTGAAAGAAAAGAAATACGCAACTAACGGTGTAGATGTGTAGGGTATGAATGTGTGTAGGGTGTGGATGTGTGGGGTATGAGTGTGCGTGGGGTGTGTGGGAGTATGAGTGTATGTTAAGTGTGGGTGTGTGTAGGCGTAGAAATGATACCGAATCGCACACACACTTACATCAATACGCTATTCTCTTCCACATCATCAAAGAAAAGTAAATTATCAGACGAGACACAAACGCTAATTAGAATATATTTTTTATGGAAATCACAGAGAGTAAACTATGCAGCGCGTGTTAAAATTGTTTTCAAGAAAAAAAAATCAATTAAAATTGAAAAATAATCAACAGACAGTTAATCCTGTATACGATTCCTTTTACATAAAATTCTTAATTTACATATTTAATCTACAACTAAAATTGCGATTCTTTTCCTATGCCACCAATAATGTCACTTTAGAACTCAAGTAATATTCAATATAATCAAAACTAAATAATTTTTCATCAGTAATATCTTTTTGTTTTCTGAAATAAAACAAAGAATTCAATAAACAAAAATGAATAAGTCATGAAATAGTGAATATTTTTATTTTTTAAATATAAAATGAAATATTTCATACGAAATTATCATTATCAAAAAGAAGTCGTTCATTAGCATGACCCCATAAAGCTTGCTTTTCTTTACTTAATTGTACTTTTTTCATTAATAATTCGTTCATATGTGGACCAATATCACTAGCAATCTTTGGTGAAAAAATAAAACAAAAAAAAATTTATTAGATTAATTCCTTTTTCTTTTCTATAAATAAAGCATACTTTTGCCATCGAACGAATATTAAGTAGATCAAGACTGCCTCCACCATCTTTATTCATATACACAATAGAACCGGACGGTTTTATCCCATAAGTTATTCTAAAAAAAAGACAGCGATTAAAAACAAAAAAAGGAAGAAGAATTATTATACCTTGCTAAAGTAACGGAATCTTCTTTAATTGTTGTATCAACAGTATGAACTCCATTTATCTAAATTAATTATATAAATAATAATTTGTCTGTCTTATGTTTGATGAATTTACTTGTCCAACAGTAATAAGTACAGGTAAATTTGATACATCAAGAACACCATATTGATATGGATCATCACAGACATCGACTGAAACTTCATTAGTTTCTTCATCATGAGTCACTTTTAAAGCTGGAACTCTAGATTATATAAAATATTTTATAATTAGAAATCAATGATTTTTTGTTTTGCTGTATAATTTTTACTTTGTTTCACTTAATGCTGCTTTCATAGCAAATGAACATGCATCATGAAGATTTCCTTCATAGCGTAGGACCTTTTATAAACATAAATTACAAAAACATATAAAAAACTATCATATACGTCGAAAATTATTTCTTTATCAAACTGAAGAAAAAAAAGGTCTGTATTGAATAGAAATTTTTTGAAAACTATATAATATGATATTTTGCATGACATATCTAATTCTATTACTTAAGCTAGAGTATTAAATGAATTGTGACTAATAATAAGTGTATTTATATATAATTTGTTGACTAAAATACTTTTGTAGACATCTAAGCTAAATAAATCAACATAGATTTTCCTAACAATTTGATAAGTAATCATGAATTTACTTTGAAACGAAGTAGAGAAATTTAATATTTTAGAACGTAGCAAAGGTCAAACTATTTTTATCTCAATAATTATAATCTGAAACTATTAAAAAAAAATACTTCACATGCTGTTCTTTTACACCATCGTCATATTATAAGGACATAGTAATCTATGCAACTATAAATATGTAAAAACGTTTTCAACTAATTAATTTTGTATTATAGGTGTTTATAGGGGCAAGACAACCTTGTCTATTCAAAAAGAGTATTTTTAAGTGTCAAAAATCGAAAACAGACTTCAGAAAATCATATTAATAAATGTAAATTCAAATGAAAATAAATAAAATAACTATCAAAAAATTTTATTTGTATTTCTTATCTTCGTTCTTTTTACTATATTAAGGCAAAAACTTAACTGATAATAATATTTACTTACAACCTGCTACTGATTTCAATAGTGCATCAAATTTATCTTTATCTTCTCTTTTTTAATGACTCAATTTTATAAACAAATCTAATGAACAATTTAGCAAAATACATTTATCTCATCAAGAGAACTAATTGATGAAAGTTTGCGTAATAAATTTTGAAAAATACTTACAGATATATCAACATGAACAAGCCAACAATGATGTCCTTTAACAACACATAATTGAGTTAAATCAAAACATTTTGAATTATTAAGTATATAATTAAGACTTCTAGCTATTTGTTTAGTATATTGTCTTCTATGTCTTCCAAATATTCTTAATGATCGACAACCACTTCTAAAATAAATAATAATAATAATAATATTCGCGCAAAATTTAACTAAATTATTTTTCGTTAAATAAAAATAATTTAAATGAGATTAAAAGAATATCGTATTCCAATTCCTTTAAATCTTGATGAATATCGTCTTGGTCAACAATGGACAGAAATTGAATTACTTAAAGAAACTTTACAAACATGTTCAACATGTGTAACACTATATGATAATATAAGTGAACAAGAACGTTTAGATATAATCAATGAAAAAATTCCTTTAACATTAAAAACTAATATTAAATCATCAACAAAAATGACACATAAAAAATATAATATTAAAGATCAAACACCTAAATTTCTTGAATTATTTTTTCTTAAATCTAATAATGATCTTATTCTAGATGAATATTCATGGGATAATTGGCCATATACATTAACAATTATTGAAAATATTGATTATTATATACGTATTATAATACAAAGTTATTATATAAATAATAATTTATCAATTATAAATAATAATTCACAATTATATTTTACACTTAATGATGAACAAATAAAATCATTAAAAGATTATGAAATAATTAATATTGCTGAAAGATTAGATGAAAAAAAAGATTATCGATTAGATGAAGATCCAACACGAAATTCATCAATAAAAAAACCAAATATATTACCATTACAATTAAATACAAAATGGTATGAAAATTGGCCAAATAATCAATCATCTATGTGTGTTTATAAATTAATTGAACTTAATATATTTAATGAAAATAATGATGAAAAATCATTTTTTACAAAAACAACAAATAAAATTTTAGTAAAAAAAAAAATTTTTTTTTTTTACGTCTTTTTTTTAATATTTAAAATTATAGAATGGTTTTTTTTTTTCTTTCCTCTAGTGGTCATCAATAATCAAAGCACAAAAAATGATTTATCATCGTTTTCATCAAAAAATGATTACTAATATTGATAAATGGATTGATAAAACATTTTCAGATATTTATGAAGAAGAAAGATTATTAAAAAAATATATTTTACAACAACAAATTCAATTAATTGATTTAAATAAATAATAAAAAAAAATAATTTTTATATAACTTACCCATCAACAGTTGCTTCAATTCGACCTTCATTTGGTTTTTCTTGACTTGCACGACTAAATTCAAATGTAACACCAACCATAACTACAGTTCCACCCTAAGAAAATATTTATTCTATTTTGTGCTTTTGTTGTTTTTTTTTTTTCTTGTTGGAAAATTTCATTGAAAGAAATCTTACTAATTTAAGAAGACATGAACCATTGGCAGTATTTATAACATCAGTTGCAAGTAATAATGGACGATAGGTACGACAATTTCGACCATCATTTCGAAAATTTGACTAAAAGAAATAAAGAATTTTGAAATATATTAAACCAATGATGGATTCATAATTGAAAAATTTTTTTCTTTTGATTATTAACTATGAAACAATCTTTTATAAAAAAAAAACATAGACGATAACAGTATTTTAACGCAGACAAAGATTACAAAAGAAAAATCATTTATTATATCTTTATTAGTGTAAGTTGTGGTTATTAAAACACCATAAGATGCCCAGTGGAAGAAGAAATAAGTTTCCTGATTAATTAAAAATTCATTCTACGCCTAATTTGACAATAATTAACTCATTTTTCCGTTTCTTTTTTTAGCCTTGACAAATTAAAGAAATAAAAGCAAATAAACAGGAATAGAGTATAACTTTCTTATTACGTATGATTAATTCTATTAGTGTGATAATAATGATAGAAAATGCACTTGTGCACGAAAGTATATCATCTGATCCATGCTATTCTCAATGGCATTTCGTTCCTATCTTGCCGATTTATTTTTAGAAAAAAATCTTAATAGAAGCATTGAGGTTGATGAGTGGACTTTTTTTTATAGTTATAATTATTTTATTAATTTTCCGGGTTCGTATTAGATATTTTTAGACAAAAAAAAAAATAAAACAACAAAATTTTAATATGAATTTTTATTGAGATATAGTTCTTGTAACAAATTGAAATTTTATTATTTGAATTTGACCCAGAGATTTTTTTTCTAAAATATTATCTTCGACATATGAACAAAGTATCATTGAAAATATCATGCATCAATTGACAATTTTGTTTTTATTAGTTCTGTATATATTTCAAAATGATTAAAATCTCATTTATAAAAAACATCCTACCTGTATTCCATCAACAATAAATTTTCTTTCATCTTCACTGGCAATCGGTACTCGAGGCATTATATCTTGAAAAAATGTACATTTATTAGAATCAAAATTTAAAAACAAAAATAAATAAATAATTTGTTTTCTTCATAAGTTAGTTAATCGGGTTCTAACTACACACAAAATACAACAGACAAAAAAAAGAATGAAATGCGTTAATTTGTTTTAGTATTTTTTGCTTTAGTTTTAATTAATGTATGAATAATTGTACATTATTTGAACATATTTATGAAAAATCTCGATCAGGAAATAAAGCCGGTGCAATACATGTCCAAACATATAAAACTACACATATCCAACTTGAAACTATTTTAACCCAAAGTGATGCTAAATTATTATTATATGTACTAAAATCTTTTGCTGGTCGATACCAACTATAAGATAAAAAATAAATAAATAAATAAATAATAAAATTCTCTTTACTTAGTTAATGTCATCATTGCATATAATGTTGCAAGTACAAACATAAAATGAAATAAAGAATAATTATATGTAACTGAACCACGTTCATCATCATAAACATGTTGATGAGTTTTTTCTTCATCATCATCATCTAATGATAAACGACTATCTTTTGCAGATGTATCATCTAATATTGTTGAATAATCTGATGATGATGATAAAAATAATTTATTTGCACGATTATTATGTGATGATGTAAAAACTGAATAAAAAAGTGCACCACCAAACATAATTAAACCAATTATAGTTATTGGATCAAATATATTCTGTTGTCTTGTTGGACCAGGACTTGGTGTTGTTGAATTTGTTGGATGAATTATTGAACGAATACTTGGATTACAATTTGGATTTGGATTATTACTCATTGCTGACCTAAACATTATGAAAAGAAAAAAAAAAACAACAAGTATTTTTTACATAAAATCAAATAAATAACAAAATAATAATAATAATAATATGAACTAACCATGTATAATACATAACATAAAGAGTAACGAATGATGATTGAAGTAAACCACATGATGGATTATATTCTTTTACTTTAGGTAATATTGATATAATCGATAAGATAAAACATAAACATAAATTAAATGATATAAAGAATGTATGTAAACGACATTCATTTTGATCTCGAGCATAATAAATATAAAAGAGAACAATACCAGTTATTGATAATCCATAAAATAATAAAGTAAAAAAACATAAACCATAAAGATGTTTTTTTGAACCAGATTCAACACTTTCAATCCATGATTCATTCCATCTAAATAATTAAATTTAGTTCAAATTAAATCTAAAAATTATTTTTAAACTTACGAATGAACAAAATCAATTGATAAAAGTAATTGAACAAGAATAAACTAAATAAAAAATAACCGAAGTCAATAGTTTTTTAAAATTAATCAAACATTTTCTTTGATTTACCAGAAATCCTCCAATCAATCCAATAACCATAAATGCTTGAGCAAAACCATCATTTGGAATAAAAAAAGCAGCAACGACTAAACCAATAAGTATTAGTAATTTAAATCCCCAAAATCCATTTTGAATTTTTGCTCGAAAATCACTGGATGTTTTAACCTTAATCATCTAGAAATCAATACAGATACATATATATATATATATTCATAATTAGTTCAAATAATTAAATCTACTTACAATTAATGATAAAAGAAAAAAGAATACTGTCATTCCAAATGAAAGTCGATAAACAGCTAAAAATCCAACAATTTTTGAACAATCAATTGATGGTATTGATGGCATTGATGGTATAGGTATATTTGTTAATTTTGAACCACCAGAACATAATGCTGGAATTTTTGCTAAAGTTTTTTCAAGACCAGGTATTAACATTATACATGATGTTATTAAACCAGCAAGAAGAATAAGACCATAAGCAATACGTGTTGATGTTGAACCTTTGCATGATGGACATGCAGCACAACAAAGTGAACAAAATGCATTACCAAAGCAACATGCTATGGATGAGCCTAAAGAACCAATACATAGACCCATTGTGAAAAGTGAGTTTTGTAGAAAATTATATGAAGATCTAGAAAGAAAAAGATAAAGTCAAAATTATTTTCGAAATTAACAATACGGGTAAATAGCAAAAATAATAGGTATTTTTTGTCATTAAATTTAATAAAAAAAAAAAAAAAGTAAAAACTTAAAAATTAATTAGAATAAACATTTCTTATAATTAACAAGATATGCCAAAACAATCAGTTTAACTATAAAAAAATTTGTGAATACACAAAAAGAAAAAGGAAACATATACAAATAACAATATCATCTTTAATTATATGACAATATTTTCAATATCATGCTTATATTTATAACTTTTTATTATTCTTATCTCTTCACATAAATCATTAATAGACACATATAAACATAAAGACAAAAAAAAAACAAAAAAACAATGAATATAAATTTTTTTTATACATAGAAAATAATCTATAAAACATATAATTATCAATACGAAAAGAAAAACATAACTATTTATATAATTATCTATATTAAATTCTACACATAATATCTGACTTATCTGATTTAATTTTTTCTTTTTCTTTTATCATATAAAATACATGAAAACAAAATATCTGATTTTCTAATCGACTAGAATTATACCATAATAATAACATCATTGATTTGTTGTTGTCGTTTTTCATTTTTTTCTTCTTTTGTCTCATCTTTGTGTTGTTTTTTTAATAATGTTGTTGACCAAGAGAGATGATTTATAAGATCACGAAAAGGTCGATTATTTATTATTGATGATACAAATTTTGAACGTTTGTCATAAACATTAACCTTAATAAAAAAAAAAAAAAAAAATTTTTTTTCTTATATTAATTAAAATTAATTTACAAGTAAATCCATTGAAACATTATGTATTTGAATTGAATAAATTTCATCAATTGGTACTGTTGATGATGATCGATTAGATGAATTTGATAATGATTCTGAAAGTACTTCATAAAAAGGTTTCATCCATTGTTGACATATTGAAAGATCATCATCAGTTAAGCCTAATATGTAGTTTACCAAAAAACAATTAACTTTAAACGAAAAATAAAATAAAATTTTAATATTATTACCTGTTATTTCTTGTAGAGGCCAATTTGTTTTATATAAAAGAATAGTCGAAGCTGCAAGAATATGTTTCGAAAATTGACTATATTCAATATCAAGTGAACATAAATCAAGTAACTAAACAAATATTTTTGTCTTTTTACATTTAAAACTCAACGCATAGACTTACTCGAACAGCTAAAGAGAATATTTGAAGAAAATCTGTTGATCGATGTACATTCGTTAATATCGAACTTTTAAGAATTTCACTGTTTGATAATAATAATCGTCGTTTTTTTCTTAAAGAACGATTATTATTATTATTTAAAATATTTTTCATTTCATATTCAACTTGAAGATAAATTAATAACCAACTTATTGATGTTATTGGATTTATATACCAATTTAATATCTTGATATATAAATAGAAATTTATTTCCAAAAATAGAAATATATTTTTCTTACATTCATTAAATCTAATTCCATATCTAAAATATCTTCTTCTGAACAAGTATTATCAGTAACATAAGCAAAATCAGATAATCGTGGTGGATAAATTTCCTTAAAAGTTAAATTTAACAAAAAGAAATTATAGAAAACTTTAAACAAATTTTTTTTCTTACTTCAATTTTTGCTGCAACAAAAAGTGATGTTATACCGAGTAATTGAAATTTATTTTTAAGAAAATTATTTGAATTACATAAATATTGATCAATATAAGCAATTGATAAATGATAAGTTTCACGATGAAGTTGATAAACTTCACTAACCTTTAAAACAAAAGAATAGGATTTATTTAAATTGTTTTTTTTATAAAAATTTTACTTCAAGTAACCAATCGAATAAAACACTTCGCATTTTAGTTGTAATAGATGGATGAGAATCAAGAAAATTTAAACGACATTTATATGTTTTATCAAGTGTTTTAATCATCATATTTGACCATAATTGATGAGATTGATACCATGGTATATCAACAGAATCTTCTTTATGAATACTGATTAATGATGAATGTTTAGTTGATACCATTTCTAAATTTTATTTATTCTTTTGATAAAATTTCAATCATAATAAACACAATATGAAAATTTAGTAATTAATTATTATTAAGAACAATTTCCAAAAATTTTTTCTTTTTCTATAAATTCTCTTATAGTATTTTATTCTTAAATCAAATAAATAATGATGAAGAAAAATATCTGATACAGAATAATAATTGATTCCTTAGAACTAAGATATATTCTATTGATATATATATATATATTCCGGTTGTCTTCAATATCAAAATAACATTATTATCATCATAGATTAATTATGTCTATCAGAAATCTTTTTATTTATTCTTAAATTTTCTATTTGATAGCATTTTGAAAGTGAAATAGTTGCTAGCTGAATACATTTCACGAGTATACCATACAATAGCATTTTATCAACAACAAAATCTTTCCGAATCATATTTTTTAATATTACATATAGATTTTATAATTAAAACAAATTTACATAGATACATATATATAAACAGTAGGAAGATAAACGTTTATAATATAAATAAAAATCTACAATGAAGATACAACATGTTAATAGATTATCTAAGCTTTTTTCCAATATATTCTTGAATAAAATTTATTAGTTCGGTATATAATATTGAATTCAGTGTTTCATCCAGGTTCTTTTCTCCGGAGGGGCGATTTGAAATTTCGGGGGGCGAAAAATTTTTTTCCGGAGGGCAAGCCATATAGTTCGTCGCGCGATGATCGCGAGTCTCGGGAGGTGCCGGGCACCCCTCCAGATAAAACACTGATTGAATTATATCAATAAAAAGTGTCAAAAGAAAATTCAAATATCTTATCAATATATTACTTCATCGTAGTAGATTTTTATTTATATTATATCCGTTTTTTTTTTGTTGTTATTATTTAATATTACTATTTTTTAATTCTATGATATGACTGATGCAGCATTGAAATCATTTTTTCTTTTAAATATTTATCCAAAAAAAAAAAGAAACATTCTTTTCATTGATATTATCTAAATAACAAATGATCAGCAAAAATATATCACTAAATAATTTTACATACAAAAAGAAAAAAATTAATTCTTTTAATTTAATATCTTACCAGATTGAATTTGTTTGATAATATTTTCTTTATTACGAATATCTCGTTGTAACTAAATGAAAGTAAAAAAAAAAAACAAAAAGAATATAAAATATTTTCATTAGTATTCTAAACCAATAATATTGTTTTTTTTCCCACTTTGAATCGTTCATGCTTTCGTTGATTCATTTGACCGAGCGCTCAAATATGAACTGACATGAATACAAATTAACCATTTTCTTTTCTTGCTCGCGTTCTCGATTCTTTTCTTTTTCTTTCCTCTATTTATTTCAAAAAGATTGGAAAAAAATAGAAAAACGAAAAGCTACTTGAACTTATTCTTAACGATGTTTTGTTCGACGGAAAAGCAACAAAAAAAAAAAAGAACAAATCATCGAAGTGTAAAGCAGCGAACATGATGCACATAACTAGACAAGACCTAGTTTTTCACACTTATAATACGATTAAAAAAGGTCCTGTGTAGATTGTGCAACACCTTCAGCAGCATGAATAGCATTTTTATTCTGTCTATATTATACTATTCATTTTTAAAGAAATCAATCATTTATATAGGATGAGAAATACTTTGAAGAAATATCGTCAGTTGTTCAGTCACAAGTGAAGCAAAAAAAAAAAGAATATGATATGGTCTCGTGCATTCAATAGACGGTAGCAACTGACTCTTAATACATACAACAGGTGGGTTTCTACTAACGAGAAGAGAAAAGTATGTCTTTGAAAAAAAAATGATAAGTAGAATTTAAAGAAAAAAAAATTTTTCTCATCTCGTTTGTTTATTCTTTTTGAAGATTTATGTAGTTTCAATCAATAATGAGAAGAATTCAATTTAAAATTATATATGAGTATGTAATAAAGATAAAATTGAAATGAGTTGACACAGAAAACAAGTAGCATTGGAAAAGAAACTAAGAATCGATGAATAATTTATGTAAGCAGAAAAAAACTTTCAAATGAGTTTTTGGATTTAATCTATTAGAATAATTATAAGAAAACAATTTCTTACTTCCATTTTAGCTGTTTTAAATTTTGGTTCATTAATCAGTGAAGGATCAGGCTAAAAAGTATAAAATATTGATTAGAAAATAAATTATATTGATGCTTTTTCTTACCGAGACAGATCTTTTCAAACTACGTGTTTTTGTCTTACTATCACCATGATTTTTATAAACCATAATTAATGGCAATAGTCTATCTGAAACGAACAAAGTTAAATTCAAACTATTCTTTTACATATATCTTTTTTTCCTTGTCATCAGATTACTAAAGAATTTTCATTGTTTTTGAAAAGAATTTTTTTTGATTGATTAAATACTAGTTTGTTTGCTTTTATTTTTAATCTGCACATTGCATCAAAGGCTTAAAGCAATGCACTAATAAATAATTGATAAAAGCAAATCTTTTTCTATTTGCATGGCCTTACAATGACTTATTAGTTAGTTTCACAGATAGTCATCAAGATTTCATGCAGATTACACAAGATAACTCAACTTGCTTAATTTCATCATATGACGATAGGAAAAAAAGAAATTAATTCGTTAACAATTTATTTAAAGAAAGTATTCGAAGAAAAAAAAAACCTATACATGAAAGAAATTATAATATGTTAAGAATGATCAAATAAATGTTTAAAAATAAAGGACTCATCAAGTCGTTGACCGTTTAATATAAATCGACGACATAAACAAGTGCATGAATGAATGATGATTGTCATCCAATCTACTTATTTATTTTTTTCGATCTTTGTTCTGCAAAACAAGTTTGAAAACTATTGGCCATAAACTAATGTTGTCGATTTTTTTCATAGATGACGTTAGTAGTCGATAATGA